TCTAAATTAAATAAGGGCATATTAGGAAAAAAATTATTGTCCTTTTTTTATTTGTTAAAATGGACAAGTAAATAGGGACAAATATAAAAAGAAATAAAAACAAGTAAATAGGGACAGAAAAAGTATTTCTTAATTCTTAGTCATAGATTTCGGGTTCAATCTTTAAAAATATAGAACCGTCTCTGTTAAAAAGTTTCTTACCTCAAATATGAAATTTTCCGGGGTAAATTCAAATTGAGTAGGTCGTTTTATAATTATTAATAGTATAACACGATGGACTTTAAAATGAAAGATATTTTTTTAGTAAGACGTATTAGCACTAATTTATACTAATATTAGTTTTCAAAAAAAATAAATAAATTTCTCTCCACTATGTAAAGCATATATAGTTGTGATAAAGATTAATTTGTTGATTTAATTAAGAGTTGAAAACTTTAACTAAATGAATTCCATTCACAAATATAGTTGAATATAAAAAATAAAAAAAGAAAAAAATTCTTCTTCTTGTATTTTCTAATTTACAGTTATCTTTACATAATAGATTTAAAAAATTGTCATAGAAAAAAAAGAAAAAAGAAAGAATTGTATTTGATCCTTGTGGATCGAAATGTAGACTAGACTGGCCCTTCAAATAATATCCATAATAGATTTATATTTTATTACAGATCGAATCCAATTCTCATATACCATCAACGATACGATTATATCGTCGAAAAACCATCGAACATTCTGGTAACTCTCCAAGATCACCGAACAATGATTGGTCCTCCTCTCCGATCGGCAACATGAAAGCCACGTCATCATCGACCCAAGTGGACCCCACCATCGTCGGCGAAGTACATTCCAACAATGTGGGCCCCACATAAGAAAAACAACCTAATAACTCTCCGGCACCGACCTCGGCCATGATGAAGTCATTTTCGGGTTGGTCAGTGAAGATGGTCGATTGCTCGGTGTTTGTGGCGGCAAAAGAGGTGGTTGGGTGGCGGTGTTTGGTGGCGGCCGCCGGAAGAGGGTGGTTGTGGCCGGAGGAGTAGGTGATAATGAGTACATTAGGGTCATGGTGGCAACGCTCCACTTGTTTTTTTGCTGGACAACCTTTCAAACTACTACATCGATAATAACCCCTACATGTGATTACATGTAATAATGTTAAAAATATATATATTTTTTATTTTATTTTTACACAAATGGGTATAAAAATTATATTCATAAATGTTGTATATGAATTTATATTTTTATGAACTAAAGTTGCAAACAAAAACTATAATTGATGTTACTAAAAAAATCACTAATTTTTTCACTAAGAAAATGTATCGTGATTATTTTTACTGATATTTTAATTGAATCAGTTAAAAAAGAAAAATTAAAAAACTTTTCATTATGAAAAAATTTGGAAGTTTTCACTATTTCAATGAGAATTTGTTTACTATCATATATTTTTCTAGTGAATTGACTTGCAAATAAAAGAGTAAAAAATCATATTTTATAACATAAATTATTCAGATGCGATAGATAAAACCTTTATTCTAGTAATTTTGTAACTCTTTAGGATTAGCATTTGATTTTTTTAAAAAAATTGAATAACTGACATATTATAACAACTAAGTAAAATTTCATCAATGGTGAACTTGTTTTTTCTATAATCTATGTATATAAATTCATAATGAATCCGAAATAATATATATCTATCACAAGAGGCCAAAATTTAAATCTTTATCCGTATAAAAAATATTTAGATTTCTCATATATTCATATTATATTGATGATCTGAATTATCTAATACTTATGCTAGTGAAATGATTGAGTATGTAATATTTATATTTAATAAAATAGTCTAAATCTATACAAATTAATCAAAAACATCACTATTATTTGTAAAAATCTTAATAAAAACACAATTGCAAGATGTTCAAATAATGAGAAAGCACTATGATTTGTTTTTTTTTCACAAATTAGTCAATAAACCAAATATTAGTGGAACTTGATCACATATAAACATACTACACATGTGAAAGAGTGGACTAGAAAGCTGTTTTTTTTATTTTGAGTACGAGTCAGAATTTTCATTTTAAAAAAATCAAATACAACAAATAAACATATGAAAGAGTAAAAAATTCAATCTCTACTATATATATATATATTAATTTTCCTTCTTTTTTTTCATCGAGGCCCTTTCGTTTGGTGCCCTAGCTAGAGTACGTTCTTTGCATTTACATATATATACATTTTTTCTAGATAAGATCATAAAAGAAAAAATGATTTGAAAGAAGTATCATTGGTATTACCCTATATTACGCCAATCATTTTCAAACTTTAATAAGAAAGTAAGATAAATTTTTATTTTTTTTTGAATTTATACGATATAATCTTTTAACGAGGAGGATTACGTTCACGATAACATGTAGGGTTGGTGTCATAAGGTAACAAGTGGGCATACTAGCTATAAAAAGAAACGACTTGCAATGATAGTTTAATAATAATGGTTAATAATAGAATTATGTCAATAATGAATCTATTTTGTGGACATCCACATTAATGTTGTAGAATTAATCTAAACATCAATTTTATTATTATTAATCATGAGCCCCCACTTAATAATAAGCTAGAACCATTACTTCAAAGAGACAAAACATTAATTCTTTGATAATATAATATTCTTGCTTACAAAAGCAAGTTCAAAGAATTTATTAGGCCATAGTGAAATAGCTATGATCCATTTATCGTTAATAATAAGAGATTTCAAATTTATTTTTTTTTAAAAAAAATTGTTAAAAGTATTATCGTATAATGCATAAATTCAAATTTTATCAAGCTATAATTATCGAATAGAAAATCAATAAGTTAGTTAAGTTGTTTTAAAATAAATATATAAAAGGATAGTTTAAATGAATATTTTTATAATTACGAATTCAAAATTTTAAATTGGAAAAAATAAATTAAAATAATTTTAATTAATAATATACCTGGGATAAGGTGATCCTTTAATTGGTTTTTGGCCATACTTCCTCCATGTAGATGAATCAAATGGAGGATAAATTTCCCCTTTATAATTACTTCTTGATATATCACAATCTTTAATTGGCACTGAAATTACTCTCTTCTTTGCTCCTTTTTTACTACAATAATTCAAAAACTATAACATATTATTCCCTCAATATATCACCACTCACCAATATTTAATTTCTTATGGACGTTTCATTTAAATATAGCTCGTGATAAGTAAGAACAAAAAATGTCTAAATTGCTATCAATGAGATAAATTTCATTAGAAATTAGCGATATTCTGGTGTTGATCGACCCTCCTGTAAAAGAAGGAGGAGAAAAAAAAACAAGAATTTATATACAAATTACCTTAATTTTCTAGGTAATGGCATGTTAACTTCAGTTGTTTGATCATCGTTAGATACAGAGCCTTCAACTGAGTTTTCTGCTTTGTATCGTTTTACTTTTATCGAATGCCTTTGAAATGAATCTTCTTGCTTATGTAAGTATGGATCTTTTTGTAGCACACCTTCCATGACCAAAAATTAATAAGCTAAAGCTAGGTTTTGAAATTAAATCTTCTTTTTTATAACTTTTTTTTGGTATCTATATTCTTCAATTTCAAGAACTTTGAAGGCTTTAAATATGAGGTGGTATTCAAGAAAGAAGGGAAGTGATGAAATTTGGCTTATAAAATAATATATGGTGAAGGAAAAAATATATTTTTCGTGTCCTAATTTATATGACATATTTTTTTAATCAGTTATAGAAAAAAAATTATAAATTTTTATATTTAATAATAATTTTATTTTACAATAGTCATTTTATCCTTAATGATATGATCTAATAACGATCGATACAAATATTAATAGCTTATTTTAAATCAAAAATTTTATTTCTTTTAAATTTCGTATTTTAATCAAATTATATCATATAAATCGATACGATAGTTAAATGTTTGACAGATCGGTAATAATATAGTTTATTAAGGACGTGGGAGCAATTAAGACATAAAGAATAATAATTGTGACAAAGGGGTGCTGTGTTCATGTAAGAAAAAATATTTTTTTAAAAGGGCCCCTAAATTTAAGTATTTTTTTCTTTTCTTTTTATTTTTGCCCCTATACTAATAATTAAATATTGATAAGACATGAAAGAAATTTAGTTGGACAATTTATTATATCCAAAAAAAAAAGAAGATAAATTTGATTAAAAGATGGATTATATTGAGAATGGCATCTTGATACTATTATTGGTCAAAAGAAATTTTTTCTACTGGATATTTGATTAAAATGGACTGAATTATGAAAATTTGATTAATTTACTTTGAGTTAAAATGCACTAAAATCGAATTAATTCAATTACTTTGAGTTAAAATGGATTAAATCAGAGTTAAAGCACAAATAATGACCAAGATATAAGATTTAAATGAACTTTTTGTGTTTTATTTCCTATATTGTAGACAACCTTTTACACTATTAATAAAATTTAATTTGTTATAGCAAATATATCTTATGATTTAATTTGTTATATAGCTAACAATATATCTTATTTTTCAAGTTACTAATCCACTTTGTATCAACATTTATAGTTATTGTTCAAAGTGACTTAAAGAATTGAATAAATGAACGGTTCAAGCTTCTAACGTATCAACACTTATAATTATTGTTCAAGTGACTTAAAAGTATAGAGTAAATGAACGATTCAAGCTTCTTACAATAACTTGATAAGCTGTATAATATTCTTTTATATACTATTAGTATAAAAGATCAAAGGTGGAATATCATGCTTGAAAGCATGTACTTCTTCTTTCTTCCCTTTAATTTTTTTTTGGTTAGTTCGATTTATCGTAAATATACTAAATCGATAATTGAATCGACAAATAGTGATCCTTAATGATGTGATAATCGATTAAACCAATAAAAAAAAAATTCCAAAAGTTAACTTTGTATAATCTTACATAGAGGTTGTATCGGATACTCCCCGACACAAGTAAAAAAATTAGCACAAGTAAAGAAGTCTTAACAAAATATTATAGAAAGCATGGCAAAACAAATGAAAACAAACTAACATATCCAGATATGCCAAATAACATTAATTCACCAAAACTTTTCAACTCCTCAAAGAGTAATAGTAATAATTGTTGGTCTACAAAATGGGTAAAAAACATAACACTTGTTGGGGAAACAAACTGATCCAACACTGGAAATTCCAACTTACTGAATGTTTGAAGATTTGTTAAGGATAACACCTTCATATTTGACCTGGAACCACTTCATTGAGTCCTCTTTTGTGACCCTGTGTTGAATTCCAACTCGAGACTTGCACCTACGTCGACGAGCAACACGGTATCCTGGGCGCTCTAGAACAACATAGAAATCCATACCGTAGATACCGGTTGAAGGATCATACCTGTAAAACAGATTAAAGAATAGATATGTCAAACAAAATGGTAACAGCACAATCAATGTAACATCCTATGCTCATTGACTGAGCCACGCTTGTCGACACCACCTTTGAGTGTTTACTTCTCTATATTTCGACTCCTCTGAGTAAAAATCCCAACTCTATTATTGCCCACACTCAAATAAAACTTGAGGAAGACGCAACCCAAGATGAAATTTGCTTAAACTATATGCTTAAAATGAAAAGCTCTAGCAACATAATTTAAAGCTTAATGATCCGTATGCAAAGAACACAACCATGCAGACAGCCACCTCCGCATTATAAAATGTCATAAAATAGGGTGAAAGTACTCCAAATAAAATTATTATTAATTATATAAGGAAGATACAAATCTGCTTACTTAATTCCAAGATCGATGTGCTCCTGGATACCAAAACCAAAGCAGCCAGTCTCACTGAAGTTTCTTCTCAACAACTCGTATTCCTTGACTTTCAATCCACTCTCAAGGAGCTGCATAGCCTTCTCTCCTCTCACGGTGACATAGCAAGCTATCTTCTCATTACGCCTAATTCCGAAGGATCGCACAGTATACCTAGCTGTCAAAGAGAGAAATACAGGCAACAGAGGAGACTAAACATCATCAATAAAGAAACGAGGCATAAGCACTCATCAGTTAGATTCAACAAGCAATGGAATAAAACAACTTATGGGATTTATTTATTTGCCTCAGCACAAATGTATCAATCAATGTATAAACACCTGCTTATTAGTATCTTATGAAAGTCCTTATTATTTAACAATTCCAAAACTCAGAGTTCCTTAATTCATGCACATATGGGTCAAAGAAACCACAAATAACTACGGGGTTCTTCCCATCTGTCCTAGTCTTGGTGGACAGAGTTAGTTGGCACTTGTTATTGGTGGGAGGTGGCAGATATTGCCACGGAATTAGTTTCTTTCATGCTAAAATGCGTCGATAAGATTCATCTTCATAATGCCAAAAACAACTATGCCAAAAACCCAAACTAGCTGAGGTGTGTTAGAGACTATTTACACAATATCCATTCAACCAGATATGAGCCTGTTTTCACTATTTATATAGATTAAACAACTGGTTACTCCCCAAAAACTCATATTTACACCTCAATCTATATCACGCCACTATATGAATCTTAAATATTTAAACACTAAACAACTTCATATAAGTTAGACCACATCTCCACAGTACCAACATTGCATTTCACAGTAAGGTGCCTAAATATCACAAAATGAAGAAAAAAGGAACAACTTGCAGGCTCAAAAAGTTCACCTTTGGAGAAAACAGGGGATTGACCGCTTAGTTGCTCCAAAACCTACAAGTATGAAACAAACGCATCGCTGATTTCAGTTTTATAGCTACAAAAAAAAATCAACTTCTAAAGCAGCATTAAGCACTTTAGGGAAGGAAAATAACCTTGGCCGCTCTGGTAAGTCTATCTCCGCTCTCACCAACAGAGATGTTGAGGACTAGCTTCTGAACCTTGATATCCCTCATTGGGTTGCTCAATTTCTTCTCTGACGCCTGCTCATTCAGTTGACGTTCAATGTATGAAGATCCGTGGTTTCAGAATATAAGAAAACTGATTTTAAGTCATAAACACACTTAAATGGGTTCAATATAGTCGATTAAATTTGCAAAAATTTGATTCTTACTTCACAAAAACAAATTAGTGGATGCACATCAGTGATACAGTTTTGCAGAAACTAATTCTTATATCATAACTACAACTTAATAGGGTTCAAATCAGTCATTTACAACTACAAAAAAATTGGTACTTAATCATAAATGCAAATTATTAGGTTTGAATCAGTCATGTAAATTAGCATAACATTGATTTGCTTATAATCTCTTTTTTTCATAACCGTGGTGTCAAGGCCAGCTTACGCGCAACTCGACTGGTTCCACGAACTACCCGTCACCTTCCACCAGCAACATGTACTAGGTAACTATAATTGATTCCTTCTACTTAAACACATATTAGTTGGTGCACATTAATCAATTAGATTTGCATAAACTGATTCTTACATCATAAACACTCAGATTTTTAAAAAAATGATTCTTACACCATACACAAAAATTAATAAGTTCAAATTAGTAATCTAATTAGCAGAAAACATGATAATTTACTTCCTAAACACAAATTAGCAGATCCAGCTTGCAATTATACAGCCAAAAAAAACAACGCATATTCATTTGGAGTATTGAATAAAAATGAATATGAAAACGTACCATTGGATTCTGTTCTGAAGAGCTTTTTTTTTCTGCAGAAGAAGATGAAGAAGCGGCGAATTAGGGTTTTTGGCAAAGATTTAAAGCAGATAGAGAATTTGGACTTGATTTAGCCCGTTCTATTTGGGCTTGGGCTAATGTATTTTTATCTTTTCTTTTTTAATTGGGCTATGGGATCATTTGCACTTTTGTTCCTATTTTGCGACGATCCTTAATTTAGAACAAACAAAATAATATCACTAGTATATGGTTTAATTATGTGTCTTTTCGTGAGTTTTCGAAATTTTTATTGGTGGAAGATTTTGGTTATTTGGTATGCATGAGGTCAACATTAGGTGTAACTTGTTTCAAATACATTGTATCTAAATTGATTTGCGTGTATCTGGTATACACTGACTGTCTCGCTTGCATTTCTTGTATATCGCTCAGATCTCTCCTTTTTTCGTTCGTCACTCTCCCTCTTCCGCTCGCTTCTCTATCTTAATGTATTTGTATTTCAGAATGTATTTGAAATGTATCTAGTGTGATTCACATGTATATGTGATACTCTCTAGCTCGCCTCTCTCCTTATGTATTTGTATTTTAGAGTGTATCCGACTGTTAAAATGCATGTATCAAGATGTATCTAACTTGAAATCTGCTATGAAATTATTAATTAGTAGACAATATGTAATTATTTCAAACTATATGGAGAACTAATAAACAAGGAGAAGTATTGAAAACATTCTTAAACTTGACGTGAATTATTAGTTTCATCCTCGAACTATTGAAAATCTTAAAATTAAAACACCTCTTCACTTGAGTAGTTGAACTTAAATACACCCCAATCTTGCAACATGAATGAAATATACCCTTAAATTCTTGTCAAATTCAGGGGTGTTTTCAATAATTATTTCGATTCAATTGTATACAAATTCAAATTGTATGCAGATTTATACACACAATCATTATACATATACATAGTAGTTATATATATACAATTACATAACATATATACATATACAATCGTTGGGCTTTTACACTAATTAGATGTCTACCTGCGGTTTATACAAACTTGATGCTCTATAGCAAACATAGTTTGTTATTAAGAGCAAATAGCAAAATTAGCTATGGAGCGCTGATATGATTTTTATGTTTGCTAAATCTAAAATTTATTATTTTATATTTAAGCTTCATTTGTTTGCATTTAATGAAGGTCCAAATCTAAATAGTTCAGACTTCAGATGTGAAAAACCACAAAAAAAAAACATGAAGTTATTGTTAACATGATATAGATATATCCGGGCATTATGTCATAAGTGTGTTTATCTCTTTTATAAAAAAATAATAATAATAAAAAATAACTCTTAATGAATATGAAAGTATCTAATATGGTCAGATCTATGAGAGAATCTTATTATTCAAACTCTTTCAAAACACTAAATGTATTTTTCGTAAAGCTCAAACAACATGAATGCTACTTAAAATATCAAAGGGAGTTATTCAGGCTCAAGCAAGTGAGTGAATGCAAATGAACCATTTCACAAAGTTTAAGGGTACATTTGGATCGATTAAGAGTGATAACTTAATATATAGTGAGATTGACTACAATTTTAGAAATCTGTCGATTTTTTTTGGAATGCGAATTGTTTCTAATCGTACAATATAGATTTACACATAAATATTATCTCATCACCGAAAGCATCCTATAAATTAAGAGTCGGTTACCGATTGGTCAATCATGTTCAGAACCGCTTAAACTTGCGAGATAAGTATAAGTTGATTGTCCACCACCTTTTTCATAATCAAGGTGATTTAACGATAAAAAAGTGTAATTAAAAAAAGAAAAAACATTATTTTTTTTTATTTATCTGTCGTTCAATAACCACAACACATTAATTTCATAACAATTTTTTTATGCCAATCAACTTTTTGTTATTTTTCATTAGCCAACTAAAAATTTATGATAGTTACAGCTGTTGTTTCTTTCTTTCAATATATTATGTAGTGCTTTTCTTAGTATTTGTCATCATTTTCACTTGCGTAGTTTTTACGTTTAAAACTATCTAACCCTGAAAATTGTTCTTCTCTTTTACATTTAAATTGAAAGTCATCAAAAATAAATCTATACATTCTTAAGTAAGAGTAAAATTTTTAAAGTGTACATATTATTATTTTCAAATACATAAATTTCATTTAAAATATTACATTTAATTTTGAATCAAACTATTAAGAGAAATAAATCATTTGCACATTTTCTCCCATTTGGTATTTCATTTGACGTATGAGTAGAAACTTAGGGCAATAATTTCCAGGTGGTCAAATAGGGTAAACTAAAAAAATAGGACAACTTTCACAAATAGCAAATAAAAAAATTATATTTGTATGCTATGGTAAAATTTGCATAATTGCGCTCCATAGCAAATATAGAAAATGTATAATTCGCTATACATATACAGTTGAAGCAAATTGTATAAAATGAAGTGTATAAAACAAGAAAGAGAAAGACACTTGAACAGAGAACTGTATAAAAATGAAGTATATAAAACGAATTGTATCATTATAAGCGTATAGAACGATTATATACAATTTGCATTTGTATAAAATGAGAAAGAGATAACGACAAAAGAGACTTGACAAGGAATATACAATTGAATCGAATTGTATAAAACGAGAAAGAGAGAAATTAGATACAATTTGAAAATTGTATAAAACGAGAAAGAGAGAAAGACAAAAGAAACTGAGCAGGGGAGTATTTTTATTGTATAATTATAAGTTTATAGGACGAAAATATATATACTTGCATGTGTATATACAATGTTCTCACTCTTTATACAAACAGAAACACAATTTATACATTTCGCTTCTGTTTGTATAAGTGAGAAAGGCGAGAATGGCGAGCGAGATTTGGGAGAGTGACGAGCGAGATCTGGAAGAGGAGAGAGAGGGGAACAAAAATATATGTATTTATAAAATTTTCTCTGCTTTATACAATTGGAAACAATTTTTATACACGTGTGTTTGTATAAAAAGTAAGGAAGCGAGCGAGAGATTGGATGAGAGTGGCAAGCCAGATATTTGAGAGAGAGGTGTCTGATAATTTTTTGAAAACGTTTGCTATAAAACACAATTAAATCAAACACTAAATACTTTATTTATTTTAGATTATTAGTTTACTATTTTCCAAGCCAAATTTCTAAATTACATTACACCCAAAGACACAGATAAAATAATATTCACTCGAACGAAATCGTTCTCTCTCTCCTCTCTCGTCCGGGCGATCTCTCTGTATTTCATCGCCGAAGGTATGAATTCCTCTGCTTTTACTCACTTCGCAAATCTCGCCGGAACTTCGTTTTTGTTTTTACATGCTACAATTAAGTATGATTTTGTTGTGCGTATGAACTCAGCAGATGAGGCGTAGTTGATTGTGTGGGAATGTCAAATTCATGTGTTTTTCTGTTTATTAGTGAGGTTTTAATGATATAATTATGTATGATATTGTGTGCGTATGAACTAAGCAGATATGTGTCTTAGCGGTAGATCAATCTTATGAAATGAGGTGCAGTTGATTGTTTGTTTTTTCTTGTTCGTCGGTGAAGTTTTAATGATATAATTATGTATGATTTTGTATGTATGTGTGTGTGTGAACTCAGCAGATATATGTACTTGGTGGTAGATCAATCTTATGAAATGAGGAGTTAATATTTTAAAGAGAGAAGTATGCGCATTTTTGAACTTGAGCAAATTATTAATTTCATTCACGAACTATTGACAGCCTTAAAGACATTTCTCTAACTTAGATATACCTTGAGTATACCTCTTATCTATCACATGACATAGCAGTGTATTCCACTCATGTTGCAAGATTGAGGGTGTATAAGTAAATGAGTGTTTTTAAGTAAAATGAGAACCTCAATCCTCACAATTTGGAACATCAATACCACATATTATATTTATAGTTCAATTAAAGCCACAAATTTAGCTGTAGCATTACTAAACTTCAATCCCTAATTAGTTAGTAGATGATTTAGAGGCGTACTTGATTGTGTGGAAGGTTAAATTCATGTGTTTTATCTGTTTATTTCATGCTATAATTATGTATGAGTTTGTTTGCTTATGAATTCTCCAGATATGTGTTTTTGTGGTAGGTTAACGGCCATATTAATTATTGTCTTAGATTTAATCTTCTGAAATGAGGTGTAGTTGATTGTGTGGAAGGTTGAATTCATGTGTTTTTGCTGTTATTTCGTGTTTTATCTGTGCGTATGAACTCCGTATATATGTGTTTTTTGTGGTAAGTCAATGGACTTATTTATTGTAGTCTAAGATCAATCTTCTGAAATGAGGTATAGTTGATTGCGTGTAAGGTTAAATTCATGTGTTTTTGCAGTTTTTAGTAACTTCAAACTGAATAAAAATTAAGTTCATTTTATTTTTCTTTACTTTTCGATTAATTGATTACTGAATGACCGTATTGATTTTCTTCTATGACATGGATCTGCTTGAGATATTCCTCATATATTTCTTAATTCCCGAAGTGTCTTGAGTTTCTTTTTGTTCTTTTTTGAGTTTTCAATTGTTTTGGTAATTTGCCAAGGGTTTGTTTATGTTGGTGTAAAAGGATAGGTTACTTAAAAACTAATTAGTGGTAAATGTCTATAGTAATTAGTAAGTTGAAAAATAAGATAAGTGACCTACTAGAGGACAAATTATATTCATAGTATAGCTAGTTTTAACTTCTTTTTGTACAATGATGGAATTCTTTTTATCCGTACTAGGTGTTTACACTAAACAAATGCAATTTTTATTAGTATGTGATTTAATGAATGAAATGAATAATAAATTTAAACATATGACATACATGTATTGACTGTCCACACCTCAAATGGTCAAAGTGGGCAAGCGAAAAACAGCCAAATCTCCATATAAAACCCCCAAAACAGTCTGCACTCAAACAAAATTCTTATCTCTCTCTCCTCTTTCCTCCAGACGATCTCTCTGTGTTATATCGCCAAAGGTATGATTTCTCCATTTTTATTCCCTTCGCAATCTTCGCTGGAGCTTTTTTTCTTTCCATGCTATAATTTTGTATGCTTTTTGTGTGCGTATGAACACCGCAGATATGTGTTTTTTGAGGTAGATCAATCTCT